TGGAGAAAACCTGCTCACTAGAAACAGTGGCCTAGGAACCTGTTTGAACTTGCAGAATTGCAATGGCTTGCAGAATTTTTGGTTGTAGAGCTAAATTATGAGGTTTTGTAAAGTCTGATGAATGTTAATCCCTACAGAAAGAAAAAAAAAAGACAGATGTAAACATCACTGGTAGCTTGAGAGAGTATTCTCTTGTGTGTGTTCCTGTACACACAGGGTGCATGTGTACACAAACATGCATATGTGCAAATGCCCTGGGGGTGTACGTACACACTTGGCGAGCTGAACTGACAGAGGTGTAACAGATATATGTACATACGTAAACTAGTGCATGCCCCTTTTACATGGATTGTGTGTACGTGCGTTGCAGCATATGGTGGAATGAGAATCAGAAGTCATCTTGGCTAAAAATGCATGTTTACTTTTCTGTAAAACATACTCATTTTGTTTCTAACACCTTCTGACACTCCCCACCCCCCCCAGTCTAACACAGCCTGGCCGCAGGGGTGGATTAAGATTCATTGGGGTCCTGGGCCTGGGGCCCCGCACCCCATGGCCCAGTCCCCACCCCCAACCTGCGCCCTGCTCTGCAGTCACGGGCTCTGTCCCCGACTGGCACAGCAGGAGCAGCAGTTGGAGTGGGACATGCTTCTTTCCAGGCCTGGGCCGGGAGCTGTGGCCGCCCGCAGGTCTGCGCTGGAGCCAGTGCCAGGGGTGTGGAGCCAGTGCCTGCTGGGCACCTGTGGCACACACCGAGCTCTGAGGACGGCCCCTCGCCTTGTTGCGGCTCAGTCCGGCTGCAGCAGGTGCCCAGCAAACAGCACCCAGCAGCCATGGCCCGCTGTGTTGTGCATGCCCGGCCACTGATTTGGTCCGCACTGAGGCAGGGGCCTCTAGGCCCAGGCCCAGCTGGTCCATGCATTAATTCACCTGTGCTTGGCCCTTCAGGACATGTTGAAAGTCCCCTTCACTTCTATGTCTGTGAAAGAATGGAGAAAGTATTGTGGGAGAGGGTGAAGGTGCTTTTCTCCTGGCTAGTTGCTGGTGCTGATTAATGGTCTCAGCAGTTGTGTGTTCTATTCTATTGGATGTTGCACAAAGCTAAACACAAAACTAGAAATGTAAAACCAGATCCCCAAGCTGATGGTAATCATATGCCTGCACCGAAATCAATGAAGCTGAGTCCTTGTCCTCCATGAAGATCTGGCCCAGGACCTCTTCTAGGTGTTGTAAGCCTAAGATGTTCATGTAAATCCTTTGCAGCAATGCCTTTTTGCAAAGCATAAGTGGGCCTTAGTTCGGCCTCAGTTCCTCGGAAGAGGGTTAGATGATGACAGTAAGTACAAAATAATGACTCCACCCTTGAATTAGGTTACTGAGGATATTCAGGCTTTTCTCCTTCCCTCCAGCTGTAACCTCACTGAGTCAGTGTTACCCCACCCCTCCTCCTGGGCCTTCTGGCTCCAGAGTGAACTTTCGAATCAGTCCAGTTCTAACAGAAGATGCCTGAACTGTGTATCGAGAGGTTGTCTTTGAGGTGGCCTGTGGACATCACTCAGACCAGTTGCGTTCAGTGAAAGACTGGCCAATGGAGGGTCATGCTCTGCACTGGTCCTTTTCTTTAACAGCTTCTGGAGAAGAGAGGTGGAGTCAAAGATACAGACTTTAAGAACAAGGAACGAGTCAGGTGGACAGTTACCTCAATACCAGCTTCCAGGGTTTCAGCAAATACTAAGGTGAGTGTTCAGTGAAGTGTTGGGTCACTCGTCTGCATGTGACCAACGGTTCCCCCGTGTCTACCTAGCACAGAGGACAAGAGAGCTCATAGGAACTGCCCACAGTGGTGGTTCCTCTTGGATGAGGGGTGTGAAAAGGGGATACAACAAACTTTATAGAGTCTCACATGAGATGCTTTCAGGTGGCAACATCCTGAGTCTCGGAGAGGCCTCTGGTTACGTGAATTCAATTTTGAACCAAATCTAATTGCCAGCATCAAAGAGCATTCATTCACTCTCCTTAGGCCCAACATTCCCAAAAGTGGCTGCTGGTACTGTGCGCCCAGTGTTTGAGGCCAGGACCCCAACTTTGTGCAGGTAGATGAGCACTTGCGGTACCTTCAGACTTCAGCTGGAATTATGGGTAACTCACACTTCTGAAACCAGGCCCAAGCTGGTCATTGTACGGTACCTACCTTCCCTGTCCTAAGCTTTTGCTTGCTGCCATCCTTGTTCCCAAGGATCTGGAATTCCCAGCATCACTTTGGCAATTCTCATCCAGGATTCCTGCCTGCTTGTTAGAGAGGAAGCGGCCTGCTTGCTCAGTGGTTTCCCTTTGACTCTGGAACAGTCTC